TTGTCGGGGGAAAAACTAAGAGAAGTTATGTCGTGTGTTAATTCCTTCGTCAGTGTTCCACATTTTGTAAAATTTTTTGTGTCAGTTTTATGCACCCGAAAAAGCTATTTGCGTTTTGCCATGTTGTACCCCATTTCCGCAGGTGTGTTTAAAGTTTTTTCCCTGTGTCCGTGAGGTCGAGCCGACCTGGTTGACCATGTGCTAAGTCACCCAAAGTGACCAGTACGTTTGACAGCTGATGTCAAGTCAGCCCCTGAGTGACCGAGCCCTCTTGTACAGAAAGCTTTTATGCTCGTCGCTCGTGATGTTCTGCAGAATCGTACCTGCTACGATTCCCATCGAGATTTGTTCACTTCACCTCCAGACCATCAGAGTGCAGTTATATGTAGAGAAACAAGTCTGGGGATGCTTAGACTAACCTCTGCTATAACTCCAACTGCCGAGAGAATGATACTCGTCAAGCCGCAGTCAGCCCTGTCAGCAGGCGCTGTGTCAGCCTCGTGTCACAAGCTTCAGTGAGCAGCCTGCGCAAAGAAGATGTCACTTTGACTGCTAGCTCGCTCACTGCAGTCTGGTGTATGATGTTACAACTCCCAGATGTTTTGCCCAGTCGTCTCTGCCACGACTCGCTCCACAACTCGCTCCACGCTCACCGGCAGTGACAGCCCAGCGACAGTACCAGTCGAGAAGTGTCCTCCTGAGTCGCTTGCCAGAAGTCCTGCCCAGTTGCCAAGTTTTGTCGACACCTCACTCGAGGGCACCAGCATGTGCCCCAGGTTGAGTGAAAACCTGCAGCGACTCCTACGATGACTGCTTCACCGTTCCAGAGGAGACCGTAACCTGTTACGTCACAGCTCAGCCGCAGCGATGTCTCTTGTGTTGCAGTATCTGTCCAGACGCAGCAAGGCGTGCAGTGATGCCCATCGACGCTCACTGCCTATGACCACGATGTTTAGCACACCCACATGTTTTTTTCTTCCCTCCCTGTAGGAAGTTTTTTTTCCATGTTCATATGTATATACAGTGGACCCTCGCATAGCGACTTTAATCCGTGCAAGAGGGCTGATTGTTATGCGAAATGGTCGGTATGCAAATGAATTTTCCTCATAAGAAATAATGGAAATCAAATTAATCCGTGCAAGACACCCAAAAGTATGAAAAAAAAATTTTTACCACGTGAAATATACATTTTCCTACACACAAAGAGAAGGATACATGCACAATAGTAGAGTAGTACATGCACAATATATATTGTGCATGTACTACTCTACTAAATGAAGAATAAATGACACTTACCTTATTGAAGATGCAGCAATGAGTGAGACACTGTGTCTGGGAGTCCTTTTCCTCTGATACTGTGGGCCCTTTTTGGATTTTCTTCAGAACAGGCCTTTCACACTGTGGTGTAAGTTGTAGGGTTCCTTATAACATATAGGTCATGGTATTTTCCCTAAAATTGCTGCGTTGTGGAGCTCTTTGAAACATAGTGTCAGTACAGTGGTTTTTTACATTTCCCACACATATAAGAAGTGTGTCTGCTTTTGGTGGGCATTTTTTTGTGTGTGCAAGACAAAACACCTCTTTGGCATTTTTTCTTGTTACCCAGTAGTAGGCAGTTTTTTAGGGGTGACACCGGCCCAGACGAAGGGTATTTGGTTAATTTCGTGGGAGTTTTCTTTGCGGTGTTGTTACTTGGTACTTAATATTTTTTGTTGATGACAGACAAAAAAATTCACATTTGGGGTTTGTTTCTGGTCTTAAAACTTATACAATTAAAAAGAGTGAGCAGGGAAAATGTCCAGAAGATGAAAAAAAAAAATTTTATGTACTGCTTTAACTTTGGAATACAATCGTAAACCCCAAATTTTCTGTCACATTTTTCCAGAGGCAAATTAAGGGTTTTTAGCCCATCACAGCTGGGTTTTAGAATGGGGTTTATTGGTTCTCTTTTTGCCTGCCATGTCTGTATTTTGTTTTGGTAATTTATGTCAACAATGTGACACTTGTTTTCATGCCCCCAAAAAGCCATGTGTCTTGGCAGCAAACCCCCGCACAATACCGGAGTGCCTCGTCAACCTGGGTATATGCTTTGCTTTACATGCACTTGCCCCACACGTCGTCATTTCACTGCAAGAATCACTGAGTAAAGGGCTTGTGTACCAGTTATCAGTATGTAATGTATGTCCCTTACCAAGATATGGTTCCATCATTGTTCTAACCACATCACCAGAGATTCCCAATAACTTCCTGGTATCTTGCACTGTATTACTTCCAGTGTACACAATAATATCCAATACAAGACCACTGTAGAAATTACAAAGTACAAACAGTTTTATACCAAAGCATTTCCTCTTCCTTGGTATGAACTGCTTGAACGACAGTCTACCTTTGAACAGAATCAAAGACTCATCGATAACAAGCTTTCTGAAGGGATAAAAATACATACAGAACTTTTGAGATACATAAGCACATTCCTGATCTTATATAACCTGTTGTTTTGGTTAGGCCTTGTTTTGTCTGAGAAGTGTAGCATACGTAACAGTAGCAGAAATCGACTGACTGGTATTATATTACTGAAAGCTGGGATTGAAATCAGGTGGTTGGTCGACCAGTATGATGTGACAGTGTGCTTATACACATGTGGCATAAGCATTATTGTGGCAAAGAACAGATACAACTCAGCCACAGTTGTCTCCTTCCACTGGTGTAGGCATGATTTAGATGAAACATTTGTGTTTGACATGGTGTAATCAAAGTATGTGTTACCTTTCCTAACAATAATTTCCATCAGGGGTTCATCAAAGAATAACTGGAAACATTCCAGCTCAGTGGCATTGTTCCCAAGTGTACAAGATGGCCATTCAACCATTTAGGACAATAATAAACTACGCAGGATTAGGGTAACTAGTGACATGGTCCTCAGACAAATAGAGAAATTAAAACCTAACAAATCCCCAGGCCCTGATGAACTATTTGCAAGGGTTTTAAAGGAATGTAAAGAGAAACTTAGCAAACCTTTGGCTGATCTTTTCAACATATCACTACAAACTGGCATAGTGCCAACTAAGCAGAAAATGGCAAATGTAATAACTATTTATTTATTTATTTATTTATTTATTTTATGTCTTTGCAAACAGTACATTGAGATTTTGTATTTACAATAGTGGGTTGCAATGCAAAGACAGCCTCTATTATGCCTAGGCATTATGGGCCAACTTAACATTATTGGCTTACAGACTACTTAACACTAAGGAGTTATATCATAGTTGTACAGTAGGATAGTAATTATTTCATAGTTGTAAAGTAGATTATTAATTATAAGTGAATCAAAATTTGTATAAGACAAAGATATATTCATATATTCAAAAATGCTTCTTGTGAAAACAATGATTCAATTATATCCCTGTCAACAATGGATAAAAAGTTCAAAGTGATTGTTGAAGTTATGATGTGGGAGTACATAAGTGAGTAAGTGTGTACTGAGTATTTAGCGTTTAGTCTAGGGTGATTAAGTGGGTTTTGAGAAGAGTCTTAACTTGATTTTCAGACTGAGTCCTTAGCTTCGAACTATAGACCAATAAGCCTTACCTCCAAAGTGGGAAAATTTATGGAATCAATAATTAATGAGGCAGTTCGTAGCCATCTTGATAAGCATAAACTGATTAATGAATCTCAACACTATTTTACAAAGGGGCATTCCTGTCTTATGAATTTACTAACTTTTTTCACTACGGTGTTTGAGGAGGTAGATGATGGTAATGAATATGATATTGTGTATATGGACTTCAGTAAGGCTTTCGATAGAGTTCCACACCAGAGGCTATTGAGGAAACTTTAGGCACACAGAATAGGAGGAGAAATTTTTTCCTGGGTAGAGGCATGGCTGACAAATAGGCAGCAGAGAGTTTGCATAAATGGGGAGAAATCAGAGTGGGGGCACATCACAAGCGGTGTTCCACAGGGGTCAGTGTTGGGCCCCTTGTTGTTCACAATTTACATAAACGACATAGATGAGGGAATAAATAGCAACATAAGCAAATTTGCTGATGACACCAAAATAGGCCATCCAATGCATTCTAATGAGGACATTAGAGCACTCCAGGTTGATTTAAATAGACTGATGCAGTGGTTGCAGAAGTGGCAGATGCAGTTTAATATAGACAAATGCAAAGTTCTAAGTGTTGGACAGGAAAATAACCATGCCACATATAAACTGAATAATGTAGATCTTAATATTACTGATTGCAAAAAGATTTAGGAGTTCTGTTTAGCAGTAATCTGAAACCAAGACAACAATGCATAAGTGTTCACAATAAATCAAACAGAATCCTTGGCTTCATATCAAGAAGTATAAATAATAGAAGACCTCAGGTTGTTCTTCAACTCTATATATTTTTGGTTAGGCCTCATTTAGATTATGCTGCTCAGTTCTAGTCACCGTATTACAAACTGGATATAGTATATGCAGAGGAGAATGACAAAGTTGATCCCGTGTATCAGAAATCTTCCCGATGATGATAGACTGAGGCCCTAAATCTGAACTCCCTAGAAAGACGTAGAATTAAGTGGTTATGATTGAGGCGTATAAATGGAAAGCATGAATAAATAAAGGGAATGTAAATAGCCTGCTAAAAAATATCTAGCCAAGACAGGACTCACAGCAATGGTTTCAAGTTGGAAAAATTCAGATTCAGGAAGGATATAGGAAAGCACTGGTTTGGTAATAGAGTTGTGGATGAGTGGAACAAACTCCCAAGCACCATCATAGAAGTTAAAATGTGTAGTTTTAAAAATGGGGTAGATAAACACATGAGTGGATGTGACCTGTACCTGACTAGGTTGAGTCAGTGGCATAAGCCAGTAGGTGACTTGGACCTGCCTTGCATGGGCCAGTAGGCCTGCTGCAGTGTTCCTTCTTTCTTATGTTCTTATGGATACATTATAAATGTGAACTTAGCATTAGTAAAAAATATGTTCTCTAATAGTTGCTGGTGTATTGCAGATGACCCATGTCTTATCTCAGGCTAGTGACTCCTGGTCTGGCTGGAAAGGTCACATAAGACAGGAGCTGTTAGTGAAGGTGTTGCCTGCGAGTAGCCCTGAAAGGAGCATTTACCTGTGTATCTGTGGTCCTACAGTATTCACTAAACTTGGCATCAGGTAAGTCACAGTAACTTTGTGTATCTGGTACTGTAGTGTGTTCACTAAATGTGATCACTGAATCTGTACTTTCTTTAACCCATTGAGGGTCCATCCCATAGTTCTACAGCTTTGAAGCCTAGGTCCAAGCAGTAGTTCTACGTCATGAGCTCGGCTCACTCAAATAAGCTGTGAGTGGTAAATTTGGGCCTAGTTATGAGAGAATGGATCTATGTGGTAAGTGTGCACCATATAAAACATAATGAGAAAAAACTGCAACCGTGGTTATGAATTAAAACAGTGATTCTGTGGTGTATTTTCAGTTTTTATGGATGTATTAGCAGTTTCTTGGTCTCATTTGATAGAGTGGAAGATATATTACCGAAATACAGATGATTCTGATTGGTTTTATTACATAAAATAACTTGAAATTGAGGTCAAAGTAGTGGAAATTTTAAATTTTTGTTGATGTTCAAGAGTAAACAAATGATGTCGTGTGTCCAATACACGTCACCTGGTGGGTCTAATATATGTCCATAGATGTGCTGATATTATTTATCCAATTATTACAATATTGCATAACAGTAAATCTTCTGTTTTTTGGTGTAAATAAAAAAAATTTATGTGAATAAAAAATCAAAATGGAATTCATCTGTAAAGCCTGGAATATTTTAAACTTTGTGTGAAATTAGCCAAATTATCAATTTCTTATCACTTTATTGGGTAGTTGAAATAGTTGATTGGGCAGTTTCTTGTGCTCAGTTGATAAAATAGAAGTGATACTAGTGAAATAACTAAGAATTTGGTCAACTGGAATAATGTAACTGGCCTAAAATAGAAGTCAAAGTGGGCAAAATTGCCAATGTGTAAATATCGCTGATGCAGTAAAATTCGCAATAGGTATATTTCATCAATTTTCCATCAAATTTCGTACTTTTTGTTCTGTTACCTTCAGAAAAAGATTCTCTACCATTTCATGAAAACAAATAAATTTTTTTTTTTAAATTCTTGGACTCTATGGACAAGGCGTAGAACTACGGCTTGGATCTTCAAAAGGTTAAAGGTGTAGAATTAGGGGGGTATGGTCAAGGTGTATAAAAGGAAGGCAGTAATAAATAAAGGGGATATAAATATTTAAACATAGTAGGTTTGTAGACTGCAACTCTCCAGGGAGGTACTACCATACTGCCAAGTGAGTGTAAAACGAAAGCCTGTAATTGTTTTACGTGATGGTAGGATTGCTGGTGTCCTTTTTTCTGTCTTATAAACATGCAAGATTTCAGGTACCTCTTGCTACTTCTTCTTACACTTAGGTCACACTACACATACATGTACAATCATGTACAGTGGACCCCCAGTTAATGATATTTTTTCATTCCTGAAGTATGTTCAGGTGCCAGTACTGACCGAATTTGTTCCCATAAGGAATATTGTGAAGTAGATTAGTCCATTTCAGACCCCCAAACATACACGTACAAACGCACTTACATAAACACACTTACATAATTGGTCGCATTGGGAGGTGATCGTTAAGCGGGGGTCCACTGTATATACACACCCCTCTGGGTTGTCTGCTATTTTCTTTCTAGTTCTTGTTCTTGTTTATTTCCTCTTATCTCCATGGGGACGTGGAACAGGACGTGGCCCGGTGGCCTGGTGGCTAAAGCTCCCGCTTCACACACGGAGGGCCCGGGTTCGATTCCCGGCGGGTGGAAACATTCGACACGTTTCCTTACACCTGTTGTCCTGTTCACCTAGCAGCAAATAGGTACCTGGGTGTTAGTCGACTGGTGTGGGTCGCATCCTGGGGGACAAGATTAAGGACCCCAATGGAAATAAGTTAGACAGTCCTCGATGACGCACTGACTTTCTTGGGTTATCCTGGGTGGCTAACCCTCCGGGGTTAAAAATCCGAACGAAATCTTATCTATCTTATCTAAGAGGTGACTGAAATGCCGGGAGCAAGGGGCTAGTAACCCCTTCTCCTTTATACATTAATAAAGTTAAAAAGAAAAATTTTTCTTTTTCATTTTGGGCCACTCTGCCTCGGTGGGATACTGCCGGTTTGTTGAAAGAAGAAGATACAGTGGACCCCCGTCTTACGATATTAATCTGTTCCTGAGAGCTCATCGTAAACCGAAATTATTGTTAGCCGAATTAATTTTCCCCATAAGAAATAATGGAAATCAAATTAATCCGTTCCTGACACCCCAAAGTATGAAAAAAAAAATTTTACCACATGAAATATTAATTTTAGTACACACAAACTGAAGAAGACATGCACAATTACTACTCTACTAAGAATAGAATACATGACACTTACCTTTATTGAAGATCTGGTGATGATTGATGGGATGGGAGGAGCGGAGAGTGTGGAAGTTATTGTTTAGAAGGGGAATCCCTTCCATTAGGACTTGAGGTAGCAAGTCCTTTTCTGGGGTTACTTCTCTTCTTCTTTCAATGCCACTAGGACCAGCTTGAGAGTCACTGGACCTCTGTCGCACAACAAATCTGTCCATAGAGCTCTGTACCTCCCGTTCCTTTAAGACTTTCCTAAAATGGGCCATAACATAGTCATTGTACAGGTTGCCAACACGGCTTGCAGTAGCTGTGTCAGGGTGATTTTCATCCGTAAAGGTTTGCAGTTCAACCCACTTTGCACACATTTCCTTAATCTCTTTTTTCAATTCCATACTAATTCTCACCCTTTTTACCACAGGGATGGCACTAGAAGCTTTCTTGGGGTCCATGGTGACTTATTTTGTAGTTACAAGCACTAAAAACACTGGGATAACGTGAAATGTATCGAATGTATGCGTAGATGCGACCACACTGGCTGGCTTGTAAACACTGGCGCCGAGGCCACACGTGGGATGCGTCCCGGACGAATCACATAAGGCGAGTTTTTTTATTGTGAGGCGAGGCAAAATTTTTGTGTTCAAATGCTTCATATGGCGGATTTAACGTAACGCGATGTGTTCGTAAGGTGGGAGTCCACTGTATATATTTCAGTTAAGTGTTTTGGCCAGATATGTGATTTTTAACAATTTAAAAAAAAATTATAGTAATTTTTCATTTGTATTTGATCATTACCTTTTGACTTGATATTTAGTGTTACTTATCTGTTCAAGTGAATGAATATCATGCTTGAAATGAATGTAGTACAGGTTGACTTTCACTAATCCGGCATCACTGATACCAGTAAGGTGCCAGATTAGTGATTTTTGTAGATTAATGAGTGCTTTGGTTAGAATACATTTAACTCAACAGCTAACCACTTCATGCTACCTTTAGAATATCCCGTAAATCAGTACAAGTTAGTTAACCCTTTTACTGTCATGACCTCTGCTCACAAACTTGCTCCCAGTGTCAACGAATTTAAAAAAAAACATTATGAAATGAAAGAGAATCTTTTTCCGAAGGTAATGCAACCAAATGTACAAAATTCGATGAAAAACTTATGGAATTATGCTCTTGCAAAGTTAGTGGTCTTGTCAATACGTATTTATTTGGCGATTTTGCCCACTTTACACCCTATTTTTGGCCAATTTGATTCTTACAGTCCACCAAACTCATAGCTGTTGCACTAGTATTCCTTCTATGCTGTCAGTTGAGTACAAGAAACTGCTCATTTACTTATTTCAACTACCCAATAAAGTGATCAGAAATTGGTAATTTGGCCAATTTCACACAAATTTCAAGTGTTGCCAATTTCAAAAGTGTCCAGAATAAACACTGTAAACATTCCTGGTACTAAAATAACATTTTCTCTGTTCATTTATCACATCTCCAGGCCCCTCTTGTATTATGCTTACTTTCCATTTTGAATTTTTATTCACACAAAAAATAGAAGATTTACTGTTATGCAGACTACTGAATTATTGTTAATACAGTAGACCATTATATTACATAGATTTATTTGCCATGTTTTGGTTATTGCACTATTGAAAAATTGTGGCACAATTTTATACAACACTTCATAAAATTAACTTTACACGGTTAAAATTGTGGGTGTGGAAAAAATTTCCCCAACTCAAGCTGCAGACATGTTGTGGGTCAGTGGGAGAGACCTACTGCCATTTCCTGCCACCTTCAACACACTCACCACCGTCATCCCAGTCTTCATGAATACGTGTCCAGTTCTATTCTGTCTTTGGACAGAATTTTGTTTTGATCTTTTAATTGCCATGTCTTGTATCTGCCAAGCAATCATAGCACCCAGTAGGCATATGAGTATTGCTTGAAGTGGCTATAAAAGGTATAAGCATTTAAGTTTTTGAATTAGTGAAGAAAATAGAGATATTAAACAAGAGATAGCTTGTGACCTTAACCCTTTGACTGTCGCGGCCGTATACATATACGTCTTACGAGGTACCGTGTTTGACGTATATATACTCATAAATTCTAGCGGCTTCAAATCAAGCAGGAGAAAGCTGGTAGGCCCACATGTGAGAGAATGGGTCTGTGTGGTCAGTGTGCACCATATAAAAAAAAATCCTGCAGCATGCAGTGCATAATGAGAAAAAAAAAACTCCGACCATTTTTTTTAATTAAAATGCCGATTTTGTGGCCTATTTTCGTATAGTATTTATGGCTGTATTCTCGTTTTCTTGGTCTCATTTGATAGAACGGAAAACATATTATAGAAATAGAGGTGATTTTGATTGATTTTACTATAAAAAGAACCTAGAAATGGAGCTCAAAGTAGGGGAAATGTTTGATTTTTGCTAATGTTCAAAAGTAAACAAATGATGCCATTGTCCAATAAATGTCCAACTAGCCATTCTAATATGCAGTCATGAATGGGTTGATGTTATTTATACAATTATTACAGTATTGCAGTAGTCTGCATAATAGTAAGTCTTCTACTTTTTGTTTGAATAAAAATTCAAAATAGAAAGCAAGAGTAATATCAGAGGGGCCTGGAGACATGACTGATCAGCAAAGAAAATGTTATTTTAGAGCCAGGAATGTCTGCATTGTTCATTCTGGACCTTATTTTGAAATTGTCATATTTTTTA